AAAAAAGGGCAAATTTCCCGGATAGAAATAAAAACATTTTGGGGGAAATTTTTTTTTGGGCTTTTAAACTATTTGTAAAGATAATTTGTTATTTTATTTTTCTTTAATAATTTTTCTGTAATAAATTTGTTATTGTTACAAGTTTGTTGCTGGCTTTTCTTTCTCGTTACGCCTGGCTCGTAACACAAAAAAGAAAAAAAAGAACACAAACACACAAAAAAAACAACAACAACAAAAAAAAAACGTTAATCATTTACCAATCTTACATGATATTATTTATGACTTACTTCTTCATGTTGACTCTTAGACTATCATATTTCGTATTAGATACTGCCGCTAATTAAAATATTCTAAAACTAGATATTGTATAAGAGAAGACTTAACTAGTATCATTACGTCCAAATGTTTGTCTTAATCATTCCGTATTATTAAGTAAAGATTTTTATTTCCTTATCTATAAGGAAAACTGTTTTTATACAAAAACATGAACACGAAAATGCTAATTAAAATCTTTGTGACTTTATGTGTTTTGCAATCCAAACAAATCTGAATAGAAAAGCAAACTTGAATGTCTTTGTCCAAATATTATATTAGTTCGGATAAGGATAATTAAACTCTTTGTCTTGAAACATATAAAACAATAATCATTTTTCATTATTTTTATACAAACATTTAATATCAGTTTATAAGATCATTAAAAACGGCGGAAGACGGTTCTTAAAGCTTTCATTTGTTAGTAACTAGATAATGTTAATTGAACGTTCTTATTCCTGTAGGCCAGGTCTGTAATTTTGTTTCGATACTAACGGGATGAAACTGGTCAATCCTAAATCATGGTATTGAGATCTCATTGCATTGAAATGATTTTAGGTTAAGTTGATTGAATGCTTAAGACTGAATCGAACGCAAGTATCAATTTGTGTCATTGATGCCGTCAAGGAAAATGCAAGTTAGGAACTTAATTACATGACTTGAGTCTTAAAGGAGAAAAAAGTCCAGAAAGAAAAAAATCCATCTCGTCTACCGAAATCATAATAAGGGGATGGTATTAAATTGCCTAGAATTAAATTTAAATTCAAATCGAAATTGAAGTATTTGATTTAAACTTAAACCTTTTGAAAATTTACTGTTAGATAGCACCATTGCCTACTTTGACATTATCCTTTCTGTAGTATTTTTACAAAGAAAACTCTTGTTTGGTTTTTCGTTTATAATTGATGACTAGGTGAAATGACTTGTATATAAGTACATTTAATCAGTTATAGGGTGTTTCTGTCATGAGCTATAAAATCATGTATATATACGAGTACATCGTGAAAATATTGCATTTCATTGGCCAATGATAAGGCAAAAATAACTGGAGGTTTTACCATTTTAGTTATGATGTCAGTCATACACAGTTATTGAACAACTTTGCATTTCTTGTATTTATACTAATGAATGACCTCTGTATTGAACAGATTTTGATTTGTTACCAAAAGGCCCAAGTTAAATCCTGTTCTTATCCAAATGGCACAGTAGAAGTATGTATTCACCAAATGCACAAACAAGAGAATGCAGCATTTTTATGTCACATTTTATGTAATATAACAACTGTATTTTCACTAGTGCTTTAGATTCCTACTTTGAAAAATACACAATGTAGTTTTCATTCAATTAAATGAACTGTTGTTAGAAAAATTTATTGTACGTTATTGGGTAGTTTGTGTAGGTGATGGCATGATGGTTGTAATGTATTATGATATAAAAGTTAAAATCAAAAGCACTTTTTGGATTCATAGGGACGTTATTAATTAATAAAATATTGAGAAAATAAACGCCGATTTAACTAATACATGTATGCAGGATGAAATGGAAAAATTAGAATAATTATTCATATTCCGTTGTAAGACATAAAACCATTTAACTTAACAGAAATATTTTTTCATTCTAAAGTCAATTTATATTACAAATAAGAAAAACGATAATTATAAAAAAAAATAATGTCCTGAATTTGCATAATTTGGCTAAATGTGCTTCAAAAGATTTATTATATCTTAATTAGTCATGACGCTTATGTAATTTGCTGTTGGCTAAAAAGGCTTAAAGTGAATAATTGTGAATTGGTCTATAATGGAAGGTTTGTAATAACAATAAATAAAACATATTTATTACGTGACAACAAACCAAGAAAAAGTTATATATGAATGGTGTTGATAAGTGAGATACATGATTCTATCAGTATATAGCATATGATAAATTGTTCTAGCTAAAAATATTATGTCTCATCATACAATTGTTCATACTGAATATCACTTAGAACTCTATCGACAGTTTTTTTCCAACAAACTCTTTTATATGAATATCCAAATGATGCATCTCAAAAATCTTTTATCAATATTTGAAACACTAAAAATGTCGTTATTGTAGACCAATACATTTTAATTAAATTTAAACAAAATAAAGTGCATTTAGAAGTACAATGTTGACTTTTCTATTAATTAAATTCAAACAAAATAAAGTGCATTTAGAAGTACAATGTTGACTTTTGATATATATATATATACTTTTATCAATATTTGAAATACTTATTGAAAATGTTCCAATTGTAGACCAATCAATTTCAGTTGACATGAACTATACTTTTATCAATATTTGAAATACTTTTAAAAATGTAAAACAAATACCTGCTTGTATATTTAGTATATTCATTCTACGACAAGATTAATTTTGTGGTATGTGTTTTTCTAAATGTTTTCTACTATTATTATTTTTTTTATTATTATCAATTTGTATGGTGGCTGATTTGTGCCATTCGTGTTTTCGTCCCGCGACCCCGCGACTTTAGCAAAAAGTCGAAAATATACTATTTAAAATGGCGGGGGCACGGAGCGCAAAAACACGCTAATTAGCGACGGTGCGGGGCGAAGTTTAATAAATACCATTTCTCACCGCAGCGGCGCAGAGCGAGATTTAAGAAATAAAACGGCGGGGTCGCGTGACGAAAACACGCTAATTAGCTTGGGCGCGGGCCGAAGTTTAATAAATAAAACTTCGCCGCGCACCCTCGCTAATTAGCGTGTTTTCGTTCTGCCACACCGCCAAGCGAAAAGTCGAAGATTAACAATTTAAAATGGCGGGACGCGGAGCGAAAACATGCAAATTAGCGAGGGCGCGGAGCAAGATTTAAGAAATTAAACTTCGTCATCCGCTCCACTTATAAGCGTGTGTTCGTCCCGTGACACCGCAAAGCGAAAAGTCGATTAATAACAAGTAAAAATGACGGGGCGAGGACCAAAACACGCTTATTAGCGGAGTCGCTAATTAGCGTGCTCTCGCTCCGCGCCCGCCGTTTTTTCTTAAACTACGCCCAGCGCCCCTGCTAATTAGCGTGTTTTTGCTCAGCGACCCCGCCATTTTAATTTGTTAATTCTCGACTTTTCTCTTGGCGGGGTCGCGGGGCAAAAAACAGGAATGGCACAAATCAGCCACTATTAATGTGTCCTCTTAAACATATTTGTTTTTGTCACGATAATACCTTGAATTTAGTTAATTTAGAAAACATGATATTCAACATTTTTCTCGGCTTAAAATATAATTTCTTTTTGAAATATTTTGAGAATATGAAATATTATGCTCCAAGGTCGAGCTGTCTTTTACGATTTTAGATTGAGATTCTATAATTCATGATTGTTTAGTTGTTTAGACCTTTTCATTATTATCAAGGTTACCGTAACCTTTTGTTCAAGAAAGTAAAAAAGTAGTTTATAAAGATAGATAATACTTAAGTTAGAGAAATGAGTTCACTTGATTACATTCACATTTTTAATGGTTTGTTTTTACCTTTATTTTCATGACAATATAAGTTAATGTGTGATTTCTTAGTTCCCTAATTTACGAATTTTGTTGCTATATCTCAGTGACGGAGGTTCAAACTGCTGTAATCAGCATTACGAGTAAATGTAGTTAGGGCCTCTCAGGATGACTGGTTAAGGTGTCGGACTTGCTTTTCGCCGTAGTTGGTTCAAATACTTTCAGGGATTTTTGATTTAGTCATGTTAGAACGCAGCCTGCTAGTTTAAGAAGGCTGCTGGTGAACTCAGATGTACACGCATGTCTAAAATAATGCACGATTTGGGCACCTTAGGTTTTCCTCCATCACTTACGCTGAAAAATCGCGTGATTGTATTAAAGTGTCGGTGTGACTTAACACACAACAAAAGCATTAAATCAGTTCTTTCCAGTAAAATCGTTTCTTGTCTAACGACAACATGATGATTGGTCCATGACAAAGATCAGTAATTATCTACGATTTAAATATCAAATGTTAGAAAATCCTTGAAAGATTTTCAATGTAATTTTTAAAGATTGTGAGAAATTCCTGTCACAAACAATCCATTTATCGCGAAAAAGAGGATATAGACACAATTTATGACCATGAAGGATAAAAAGTTCATTCTAGCCTTTAACAGATTGACTTTAATTAATCACCTAATCCAAATATTTTGCCCCGTGTTTCTTTTGAGTATTGTTATACAAACTGACTCTGAAATAATTTTGTTTAGCAGATAAACGGTCAGAAATGAAACTTTAGAATGCTTAAGTCAATGCATTATTTATTGAACGATTTGTTTTGCATTACCATCGCTTTTAACAAAACAAACAAAACACAAAAGTGTAAGAGACTATGTGAATGTATGCGACATATGCGTTCTGATCAGTTTGAATTTGCATTTTTATTTTCCTAAGGCATGCTTATGACGAGGACCTATTTTATATAAGCACAGAACATTATTCTTGACAGGAGATAATTCAAAATACCTTTACATAAGACAATATAAATTATCACATCCAACCTAAGGTGATATAATAATAAATAAGTGTTCACCCGAGACAAGTGTTGTCAGTCGAGTTTAACATTATCTTGTCAAGGGTGGACATGTTGTTCTTTCAAATGAAAAATAATGCAATATTTATTTTTTATACTTTTATACAAAACAAGTAAACATTCACGAAAAAACATCAAATAAGTAAAATCCGGTACTTGATAACAACACCGTTCCGAAAATGACGTCAGTTTACAACATTACGAATTGTTACCCACTGATATCACATAAGGCTACATGGTGAGGTATAATTACATTGAATGTTTATTCATGACATCCAGGAAGGACTTCTAAAGTTTGAAGCAAAGGGGGAAGGTTGAAATTAATTGAAGTTATTCAAGAAAAATGAGAACAACTTCTATTACATACAGTAAAATAAAGAAGATTTCTATCTCTTTGGTTCATTTTATATAGCGATTTCAACATAACAAATGAAATATAAAATTGAAAAGAAAACAATCTGATCTTCATTATATCAAAAGACAAACGTACACGTTTTCCTGATACATTTTGTTCGATATCAGATGAATCTATACGTTTTCTTGTTTGCCAATTTGCTCTATAAACTTCTGCCTATCTAGTTGAGATAAATAATCCATATGCGTTCTTACAGATGATACATTAGATGCACGTGCTGATTTAAAATGCTGTTGGTAAAATAAACTGAGCTTCAATTTAAAACTTCGTAGAAGTAAGGCATAAAGGAGGGGGTTCATGATTGTCGACACTTTAGCAAAAACTGCTGGTAAGGCAACAATTAAAGGCGTTATTGTACTTCTATCACCGAACAAGCCAATCCATGACACAATGCTATAAGGTGTCCATGAGAGACAAAACACTGAAATAAGAATTAATCCAGCTTTAGCTGTTTTCATTTCATTTCTCTCCAGTTTCCTATTTTTGCGCATGCGCCGGAAGGATGTATCATCTACATTCGCCCTGCTCCTTGCATCAAAATACCTTCTTTCATGATTTCGTACCTTGATAAATATAGTTCCATAACAAAAAATCATTGTCACGATAGGCAAACAAAAGTATAACAACTGGATCAAAATGTTATACGAAATATTTTGTAACGATCTTGTAAATTGTTTTACACTACATTCGATTTTCGATCCTTCAATAACATAGTGTCCAAAACCAATAAAAGGCATCAGTGCAATGGCAAATGATACTATCCATATAATAGCTGTGATGTAGTATGCAGCTATTTTATCGCTAGGACGTTGAACTGGCATACTTCTTGATATCACAACGCACCGATCGATAGCCAACACCATCAAAGACCAGATTGCTCCGAATCCTGTGAATGCCCCAATAAATGTGTCGTAATGGCAAACTGGAAAAACAAATTTGAATTTTAACATACTATTCATAGTTTTTCATTGTAGCATTATGTAGGCGTTATAAAGATCAAATGAAAAATGACAATATATAAAATCTTTATAAGAATGAATGTATCACCACTTCATTAGCGTGTCAATGTATAATAAAATTGTTAATATGTACAACTACCAAAATTTACAAATATTACTACCAATATGCCAATGTGTCAAATGTTTCGCATGTCAATCTATCAGAATGAATTGTACATTTAAATCGGTACATGTTAAACAATAATCAGTAAATTTGACATTTCGCTCTAAACATTTTATAGGCATAAATCATTTGGGAGTATTTCAAGGACTTATTTACTATGTAATAATCAAACGTTTAGAAGTATTACATAAACACATCATAGGACTTCGTCCACTCGAATGCATATGCATGTTTTTATTTTGTTTTGTCAAAAGTCGATGCTATCTTCACACAAAATTCTTGGTTTAAAGATATATTATGCTAAAATTTGTTATTTAAAAATACTGATGATCACTTACTTGTCCATTTTTAGATTTAAATTAAACCTCTTATGAGTTACATACAGATAAGATATGTAACGTTTTGAACACTACATGCTATAGGGTAACACAGTATAAATGAATACACAGTGCCACCAAATAAATACATGGTAAAAATGTGATCCACCTGAAGCATTAAAAAGAGCAAAATTAAATGGAAATTGCAGATTAAGAACCTGACGATCATTTTTACCAACATAGTTTTTTTCTGAAAAAAGGATTTTCTCCTTTAAATTAGACATAACTTCAAGGGTGAGTATTTGATAAGATACCTTGTTTCAATCAAAATAGTTATGTGGAGGATATATGAATGCAGATATTTGGATACTTTGTTTTAGCCAGCGTGTTTGTTTTAAATCAGAACGCTGGACAAGGTCACATATACCAAGATAAATACGACAACTTTCCATATAATATTAAACAACAGCTAAAGCGTAAATCGAGTGTTCGCTACGATGTATCCATATAATTCTACTAAACATTAGATTATTTTATTGTATTGTATTTGTTTTAGATACTTCCCCTGTGCTCAATGAGAAATTAACCGCAAATAAACACAATCAAGTGTGAATTTGATGGTTTTAAAGGTATAAAATTTAAAGTGTATACTTTACAGTTAAAGATATATAATCTACAGACTAAAGTGTAAATTTATCGGTTCAAAGTGTAAAATCTACACGTTTAAGAGTAAAATGCACAAATGAATGTATTTAGCTCTGTTAAAATACATGATAATTGCCCATATGACACTAAAACGCTTCCTTAAAATACTTACACAATTGTAATAGCTCTGTTCTTATTTCTTGCGAAACGTATGTACTAATTAAGGTAGGTAAGCCGCCTAAACACATCAAAAGGTCTGCAACTGTAAGGCTACAGATAAAAATATTTGAAGATGTTCTCAAACTTTTGTATCTGAAAGAAAAGAAAAATAAGTAAAGATATGAAATACAATTTATGACAGTTCTCATTTATTTGTGACTACATGCATGCAAAGTCTTAAAGTAATAAGACTTCCTTATCAGTGTTATTACATACTACATGTATCTAATCCTATCTGAAACAAATGCCTTAAGAGCTGAGATTGAATAACTCTTAACCAGTGCTGGGGGGGGGGGGGGGGGGGGGGAAAGGAGAGCCATTTTTACACTCTCCCTTATTTAGATATCTTTTGTTTTGTTAATATTTATGTTATCTAAAATACCACGATGCTTGAATAACAATACTATCTGTATGTGAAACCGCTGAGTTTAAAAAACTTAAAGCATTTGATTAATATATATGCTTTAATGGTTTTAACCTTTGCCTTCGATATAGCACAGATGACATAAAATTATACGTGTTTATACGTGTATTGCAAAGAATTACACTGAAATTTAATATTATTTTGCTTATCATTATTTGATATATACTTGGATTTCAACATTATAAAAATGATATCGATATTCAGAATATGATTTTTTTTTTATCGGAATCAAAATCTGAGTTTGGTTGTAAAGAATTGTGGCTACTCATTAGATTACAATGTGAATTATTTATGCATTAAAATGCATTATCTCCATTAGCTTAGATTTATTTGGATACACTAATGCGTTGGAAATTCAGATATTGTTCTCAATTTCCAGCGTTCGAAATAAAATTGACTGCAACTGATAGTCATATGCACACAACATAAAATAACATTTGCCAAATTAAGACAATTTAGATAATGCAGTTGCACGCTACATATAAATTTTTGAAGATTTAGATACGGTGAGTAGTTACTCCGGGGCAAGAGGGCATGGAAAGATTTTCACTTTCTATGGATTCTTAAAAAATATTAGTAAAAATACTTAGACCAGGTTGAATAACAATAAAATAAAGGTCTCTGGAGTTTCTAAAATAGTTTATAGCTTTCTCCTCAATCCTTTTTGCATTTGACTGTAATTATATTGCGTATATATTTTTGATTGAAATAAATATTATTTTAAGTAATTTAAATTAAAATAACAATAATTTACTTATTTTACTAACTTTACAAAAAGAGCTGTAATTATAAATCGTATAGTATGTGTCTGATTGAAAGAAATATTATTTTAACTAATTTAAATTTAAATAACAGTAATAATATTTTTGACTTACTTTACAAAAAGAGCTAGCACAATAGAGTTTCCTATAGTTCCAAAAACCAGCGTCAAAATCATCGTAATGGCTATGATGATCCGAGCTGAGTATGATAAATGCGGTATATCCTCTAGTACCTCTAGTGCTTCCGTTTCATTTGTCAAACCAGTCACTATCGTTATATTCATTGCAATAAAAACAGACGTTAAAATCCACTGGTATTAGCACCTTAAAGAATTAACTTAACGCAATCATTAAACACTTTTCTTTCTGTTCAAATCCCGTTTACAGAATAAACGAGAGCTAGCTTTGAGCTTAAATCGTTATACATACTCGACTGTGACAAAGCTGTCTTTCGCAGCAGTTGAGTCAAATATACATATTTATTTTTCCAATATTAAGTCTAACTGCAATTATCAGTCTCAACAGTAACCGAGTCAAGCTAAAGTCTTAACCAAAGATGTGACGTTGAACATATGCGTTTCACTGGATAATATCGATTATAATTTTTGACCATTTTTATGGTTTTGAAAAGGTATCATGGTGGCACGAACTTGTAATAACAGATCTGTATGCTTAAATATAACATGAATGCACACTCAGCCTCTTTCAATATTGTGTTATTAGTTCTTTAAAAAAAATCAATTACATTTAACCCTCTCAAAAAAATAAAATAAAATAAAAAAATCTTGTACATAATTATAAAGTTTAAATATTTAAAACAGTATTTAAATTTGACCATTAACATAACTTTTTATTGTGTAAATTTAGGCGAGACAATGTCGAACTTATCAATTAGGTTTTATCTGCACACTACTGCATTTCATGCAAACATTTAACCGCCTCCGTGGTCGAGGGGTTAGAGTCGATGACTTCTAATCCAGTTACCTCTCTGGCGTGGGTTCGATCCCCGGGAGATGCTTTGGTAGTTTAGCACGTAGGAAGGTAGTCTAGTACTGGTGTAACTCTCCAGGAACGATGGTTAGAAAACTCCCCGCCTATATGACTGAAATACTGTTGGAAAGGGGCGTAAAATGAAACAAAAAAACAAACAATCATGCAAACATTTATAAAAAATTATTGGACGGATACATTTACAGACTACAAGAATTTATAAGTATCTGAAAAAAATAATCACCAAGGAAGGGCGTCGTTCAATGAATGCAACCCCGACACGACCAAGCAACATAGGACCACCGACAAGGAGCCCAGCTGGAAACAAGTAAAAAGTGTACGGCACAAGGTAAAGGACGGTGTGATAACTATTATAATGAAATATAATAAAAATAAAAGAAATAGAAATAATAATAGAAACAGTTATAATAGAAATTAAATACACTAAGAAATAATCTTATACAATCTTAGAAAAAAGTCTCAAAGGAACGGTGCTCTTGAACAACATAATCATTACTATTATCTGGCAGAAATTTGATGAATATCTCTTAAAGAGAATGAGTTATCAAAAGACGATACATACAAAAACGATCAAAAGAAACGTTTACAAATAAATCTGACAGAAAATCTATATATTTCAAACAATTCTTTACCAAAACGTGCCAAATCCGAAGCAGCGCAGATGAATGTCATTGACCTCATTAAAGGATAATGATGAACCGTATTGTTACCCATTCATTATTTTGAAAACAAATGGTTATTCACAGAGTTTCAAGATCTTTTGCTTAAAGCAGCATGCCTCCAGATTCATGATAATTTTAATGAAAATTTTGAAAATGTATTTCAAAGTAAAATATTGTGAAGTGAACAAATCAAGTAATTTACACATTGCAAACGACACTTACAAAATATACAAAAATATGTCTTACTGCGTTAGTAACGCAGTAAAATTATAGTGATTGATACTGCAAAATCAGTCATTAATCGCACATAACATGTAAATAATTAATTAGATGACATAAAACTTTAACAAGAGTTAAAATAGAGAGAAATAAAGAATCCCTAAAGAAAGCCCAACAAGACAAAATTGAAAATGTTGCAGACTCGGTTTGATTGAGCTTGTTCATGCACGTAGGGTACGCACGTTCTTTTATTTGGGGACCATACACCGCTTTTCAAGGAATGGCACGAAAGTGTCATATTAAAGGTTCCATAATAACCGCCGCATGAACACAACTGCGGATGTTTTAAGTTCAAAATGTCACCATTACCATGATGAAATGTTGAATTCTGCCTAAACGCTAACTGGCATTTTCCATTACTATCCATGAACCACAATAGTGAAGGTAAAACAACTGATACAGAGAAACACAAAGAGTAACACTGATGTGTTTAATTGTTGCTAAAGAAGTCAAAAAGTTATGAAAGCTTGCACCATTTTGAGAAATCGCTTTCGGTCACATCTGTATAATTTATTTCAATTGTCACGAAATTCATGTATTATCCCCTACTGCCTCCTGTGCAACAGTTTGCATATTGTAATGTTTTAACATTTTGTTCTCTTTGAAAATTCCTGGGGGGAAAAGATCCATCATTAGAAAATAAAACAAAGACGTGTTTATGAAACACAAATGCTCCAAGTTCAGTTTCTTGTCAGAAACAAGTTTTTAAAACGGTAACCCATTCACTCATTTATGGAACGAACAATTGCCAAAATTTTGTTATTGTGAAAAATATAAGTTGACAAGTCATTGCTATGTCTTGTAACGAAGTTGAAAAATATTCAACTTACCAATAAAACTTTATAAAATAAATATTTATGCAGGACATTGACCTTGAATCCAGTGACCCCAAACTTCATTCAAACTTAAAGGACCACCTTAGGTTTGTTCCTTGTAAATATAAGACATTGGTAAAAAGTACAAAATATTAAAAACAATATCAACAAGGAAGAGCGGCGTTCAATGAACACAACCCCCACGCCACAGCAACACAGGCTCTTATATCAAGATTGAATAAAAGTAAAAGATCTATTGTTAGCACAAGCGACCTTGACCTTGTGACTCCAAACACTGGACCATCCACGGTATGTTCCTTCATATATGAAACAAGAGCTGTATCAGAAAGTGACAAATGCCCCCGAAGGATTCTAGTTATAAACCACCTATTACATGTTAAGTGTGGTGGTAAAAATTGACAAAGTTCGAACCCTAGCAGTGACCTTTAAGTGATTAAAAATTGACAAAGCTCGAATCCCAGCAGTGACCTTTGAGTGAGACAAAGAAACCTGTGCCTTGTTCACAACACATTGTCCATCTATGGTGACTTTATATTTTTAAATTAAAATTGAAACTTTCATGTATATGGAAGTTACAGAGCGGACACTGTATATAACATAAACATTGAAAAAATTTAACCCTCAGCAGTGACCTTGAAGTAAGGTGTAGGAACACGGGCCTTAAGGGCAACACATCATACATTTATGATTATTTCATATGTGAAATAAAAAATATAATCCTTTCATGCATATTAGTTTCAGAGCAGACACAACCATCTCTACCTATATGTATGTTAACATCAAAATTGATAAAGTTTGAACCCCCACAGTGACCTTGAACTAAGTCATAGAAGAGTCTTGTTCACGACACATCATACATTTATGGTTATTTCATATATAAAAAAGAAACATTAAAATCCTTTCATGCATACTGAAGTTTCAGTACGGACACGACCACCGCCTTCTATATCCATATAGCATAACAAATGACAAAGTTTGAACCTCCACAGTCACCTTGACCTCAGTTGTAGAAACCCTAGTCTTGTTCGCGACACACCATACATTTATGGTAAATTCATATGAGAAAGAAAAATTACAATCCTTTCATGAATACCAAAGTTTCAGAGCGGACACAGCCGCGACTTTCTATATTTTTATAACATAAAAAATGACAGTTGGAACCCCTACAGTGACCTTGACCTTACTCGTAAAAACCCAAGTTTTGTTCGCAACACATACATCTATGGTTATTTCATATGTGAAAAAAACTAACAATCTTTCCATGCATACTGAGGTTTCAGAGCGGACACGATCACCACCTTTTATATTTATATAACATTAAAAATGACACAGTTTGAACCCCAACAGTGACCTTGACCTTCGTGGTAGAAACCCGAGGCTTGGTCTTGATCGCGACACACCATACATCTATGGTTATATCATATATGAAAGAGAAATTAAAATCCTTCCATGCATACTGAAGTTGTAGAGCGGACACGACCACCACCTTCTATATTTATATAACATAAAACATAACAAAGTTTGAACCCTCACATTGACCTTGACCTTAGAGGTAGAAACCCGAGTCTTGATCGCGACACACCATACATCTATGGTTATATCATATATGAAAGAAAAATTAAAATCCTTCCATGCATACTGAAGTTGTAGAGCGGACACGACCACCACCATCTATATTTATATAACATAAAAAATGACAAAGTTTGAACCCCCACAGTGACCTTGACCTTAGTGGTAGAAACCCGAGTCTTGATCGCGACACACCATACATCTATGGTTATATCATATATGAAGGAAAAACTAGAATCCTTCCATGCATACTGAAGTTTTAGAGCGGACACGACCACCACTGTCTATATGTATAAAGCGGGACGGACTGACGGACGGACGGACTGACAGACAGACAGACAGACAGACGGACTGTTCGATTATAATATGCCACCCTTTGGGCCATAAAAACATCAGTCTACAAATAAAGGTTGTACAACTATACAAGATATATTCAAGACATATAAAAAGCTATATTGGCAAAACGTTTCAATTACTATATGCCTTACGGCATAAAATATCATTAAATGAAAACTGTAAAGTTGCTCTGACCTAGTCTGTTTAAAAGAGACAGTAGGATTGAAACAACCTTCAAGAACGTAAACTGTGTTATTTTCTTATTTTACCCGATAGCGTCATCGTTGGCCTACATAAAACTGATGATCTCAGGGCAAGATTCTAACTTATAATACTTTAAAGACGGCAATGACATTCATACTTTCTTAAAATTACAATCCGTCATATAGAGACATATGTTAATGGTTAACTCGGAATAATTTGTCTTAAAAATAAAATTATCGGACACAAACTGTGTTTTGTATTCATTTTATCTAATTAAATTTTCTTGAAATAAAATAATGGATGGCTGAAATTCAAGTATCTTGAAACCTTTAAAGATCTTGGCAAAGTCTTCTGTAACCATTCTCAACAGGCCAAGGGAATGGGTGGCAGTCAAGTAACCTGGATCCCGAAAAGACGTTAGTAAAAGCCATTTGCAAACCCTTTAAGGCTATTGTGAGTAAGCGTGAACACTTTGGAATTAAATTATTATTTATTCTTATACCTACCATTCACAATAA